CTAGCACTTGAGGGCGGGACTTTTGCGAATTTTTCCCGGATTCCGCCTACGAAAAACATATTCGCCTCTTGGGAGCCAAAATGCACGCTAAAGTGCCCTTTTTTTTCTTTTCGCCCCTGCCCTTCAAAAAGTCTGTGCACACCACTGTCACTAGATAATTGTTCATGCCAAGATCAAATAAAAATATTAATTCTGGGAATGTATTCACATGATTTTCAACAAAAGCATCTGGAATGGATGACATGAATGATTTGAATTCAATTGAATTCACTTCAATTTATTAGCTTCCTTTTTAAACACTATAAAATGTTTTTTTGCATGTACAGTATAATCCAATTATCTATCACATTTGCAACTGCAAAGCTCTGTGCATTTCCATTGTGCCTTCTTGCATGAGCACTTTGTTGTGAATGGTAAATTGAAAACGGTGATTTTGTGAAGTAGGCTTCAGTTTTCACTCAGCATTATTTTTATTTTATCTCTCTGTCTGTCTGTGTGTCTGTCTGTGTGTCTGTCTGTCTGTGTGTCTGTCTGTGTCTGTCTGTGTGTCTGTGTGTCTGTCTGTGTGTCTGTGTGTCTGTCTGTGTGTGTGTCTGTGTGTCTGTCTGTGTGTCTGTGTGTCTGTGTGTCTGTCTGTGTGTCTGTGTGTGTGTCTGTGTGTCTGTGTGTGTGTCTGTGTGTCTGTGTGTGTGTCTGTGTGTCTGTGTGTCTGTCTGTGTGTCTGTGTGTCTGTGTGTCTGTCTGTGTGTCTGTCTCCTCCCCTCCGTCATCAGTCCTCAGTCAGCAGAGGTGATGGAGTGTCAGGACGCAGTTGTTTCCTTCCTGAGCTGGACTCTGATTATCGGGGGCGCGGCTTACCTGCTCAGACAGAGCTACACATGCACGCCGTACGGCCGCTACGCGCCAACGACGGTTCATTGTTGCTGCTGTTCGGCCAGACTGGGCTGGTTCCTGCAGGAAGTCCCGGCCTTCCTGCTGCCGCTGCTGCTGCTGCTCACCGAGGAACCGGGGACGACCGGGGACAGAACCGGGGGGGCGCTGCTGCTCTGCACCTTCATGCTGCACTACTTCCACAGGTCAGAGGTCACCTTATGGTCACACAGCAATCAGTAAAAATACATGCAAAGCCTCACTGAAGTGAAAGAATGTACAGTCAGAGTGTGTCAGTGACGTGTTTCCTGTCCCTGCTGTATTAAGGTGTCTGAGTGGTTTCATGTATCAGACCATCATGTTTGTTCTCTGTCACAGAACCAGAATATTTTCAGCTTCATGACAGCTGAGTTTAATTTACAGCTCATAAAGGAACGCGTCATCCTTCAGTTTATCACAAACGCACCACATCTGGAGATACAAGCTTTTCACAGGACAGGAAGGAGAGTCAGAGTTAAATATTTGAGCTCTAAAACACATGACTTTATGAAACACTGTCAGTGAGTTCTTTAATGTTCATCCTCAGATGTGGAGTCAGATTCGACCTCTGAGGACAGTTAGAGGTCAAATTCACGATGGCGGCAGGTCCACCAGGTCTGATGTTCAAACAGGTTTAACTACCACACAGTGTAGAGAAAAACTCCTTCAGCTCCTTCAGTCAACTGCCGCGTCTACATGTGACGCACTCCGTATCCTCCTGTGTCTGATGTTGAAATTCTGGGATGTGGTGTAATGTAATATTTCTGCCCATCACATGCAGAAAGTCTTTTTCAAAACAAACCTACATTGTCTGTAAAACACCTCAAATTTATGTTTATTCCCGTCTGTAACTAAAGCACGTGCTCAAGTTTTAAAAAACATCATGGTTTGGCTCAACATTCACTCGAGAAGCGAGCAGTGGCCTCCTGGCTGAACGTCCAGTGTTTTTTGACCCCTCCACCTCCCTGTAGGGACTCTACAGCTCCTTACGTTATGTTGTCACCGGCAGCGTTTCAAACTGATGTCGTTATGAACTCACACTGCCAGGCAGCATATCATACCACGCTGAGAGGTGCCTTTAAAGCGGCGATGTTTGACGAGGTGGGAATGAGAACGAGCTGCAGGAAAACATTTGAGTGTCAAATCCAACCAGATCTGAGATCACCAGAGTTTAAGGAAATGCATTTGGGGTCAACTTGTGTTAAAAAGCTACGTCTTGGACTTTTTGTTTTGCTCATACATTTATTTTAGTTTGGACTCTGCTTCCAATGTGACACTACAGGGTTAATAATACTAATAATTGGTTCCAAAATTGAACATGTGTGAGCATCAGACCTGGTGGACTTGCAGACCTTGCGTGTTCTTTGGCGGGGGTGATCACATGACACATTGAAATGTGTTTTAATTCATGCACACTTATCCACTGTCTCTGTGTAAACAGGTCTGACCACACGAAACACAAAGTAAACCCTCTACAGTCAGGGGTTCCTAATAAACTGGACACTAAGTGTGTGTGATGATTTTATACAAGAGTAGAGCTGTTACAGTGGAGAAAAATGTTAATGTTTCACCTTTAAAATGTGGTGATGTATAAAGTCGCACAGACACACTGAAGTGAAACATTTACCTGTCCTCATTCAGCCCAGAAACACGAGAGCAGAGTGTTGATCTGCACTAAAGTTAGCACATTAGCAAATACAGAAAATAAAGTTTTGGTTTTTTAATGAAAGAGGAGAGGACACATCAGAGACATCAGACGGAGCTGTATCAGATTTGGTACTTCTGGATTACTGCAACTCTCTTTTCATGTGTCTCAGTAAAACTCATGTAGATCGCCTCCAACTGGTGCAGAATGCCGCTGCCAGGCTGTTAACCAAATCACCCAAAAACTGCCACATTACTCCCGTCCTGGCCTCCCTACACTGGCTTACTGTCAGCTTTAGGATCCAGTTCAAAATCCTTGTTTTAACTTTCAGAGCCCTTCATGATCAGGCACCTGAGTATCTGTCTGACCTGCTACATGTAAATGTTCCAAGTAAGACACTTAGGTCGGCCGATAACGGCCTGTTGGCAGTTCCTCGCACTAGGCTTAGAACTAGAGGTGACCGGGCCTTTGAGTCCATTGCACCCAGATTGTGAAACGCCCTCCCACAGAACCTGAGAGCCGCAGCATCGGTTGCAGTTTTTAAGAAGCACCTTAAAACCTACCTGTATAGGCAGGCATTCTTCAACTTGTCCTTGTCTTTAGTGATTTAGTTTTGCAACAGCTGCTGCTGTTTCATTCTGTGTCTCTGTATGTTTGGATGTATGTATTCTTGGTTTGTGTTTTAATACAAATACATTTTACTTACTTACTTTAAGGATTTGGACATTTTAAGAAACTGATTTTCTGAGTTAGATGTTCAGATTGATTTCCTCAGCAGTGTGTTTATCAGCTTAAACAAACATGATGTCAAACTGGATGAAGGCCAGTCACATGGCGTCTTTCCAAAGCCAACAGTTAGCATATCATTAGCTAACGACATCATCTTTTGGGGTTAAATTAAAAACAAGATGAGGTCATATTCGGTTTGTGGCTGGGCCATATGGGGTAGAGGGCTTTTAATTTCAAACAGGAAGCAGTGACATATATTTTCTTTACACATCCATGAGACCTTCAGTCTCAGACTTACATGACTGTCTCGTGTTGTTGCTCTCCAGCCACTGATCTGCCACTATCAGAGCCAAGCTCCGCCCATAACAAGTCAGGGCAGGTCGGTAGAGGACATTGAAAATCAACAAGTGTTGATCAGAGAGCTTCACAAAGAAACAGTCATAACAGTCATAACAAGAATGTACAGTGTCATGTCAACATCGTGACACAGACGGAGCATAGCAGACAACAAACTGAAACTCAGAGTATACATGTGTTCAGCAGTGTGGTCAGGCATGTCGTCATAACGATCATTAAAAGGCTAAAGAAAGAGACGGATGTTAATGTATTAGTAGAAGACGAAGATCTAAAGTTTCCACCGAGCATTGTTTTTGTTTCTACTGTGAAAAGTTGTGGATGAACCGTCCCTACGATGTTTGTAGGTGGGCGGGGCTTAGCTGGAGGCAAAACAGTTAGCTAGCGCTAGCTAACAAGTTGTGTTGTCTTGTTTTAGACGATGGAGGAAGATGATGTGAGTGGTGCATTCAGAAACACTCATTGTGAGTGTGGGAGCGCACTCTGACACAAACTGGAGCGTTGATAAATTGGGAGCGCTGTCTGAATGTAGCGTTGGGTTATCCAGAGCAGCGCACTCTCAGAGTGGCAGAGCGCACTCTGGACACTCTGTCTGTGGAGACGGAGCAGCAGAGCGCCGAGCGGAGTGAATGTGTGATTAACTTAACCGTTGGTTCATTCATGTAGAAATATAACGCTGCGTTTCTTCCACCAACAGGGCTCTCATTTTAGTGTAGAGCGTCAGACTGAATTTACCAACGCACCATGTCAGGTCACTCACTCTCCGGGACCGCCAGTGTTACTTGAATAAGTAAACACTGACCAACGGGACCAGACTGGCCGACCCGTATGCTCTCACTCAGTGGATGGATGATGTCACAGGAAGCCAATCTTACAAAGGAGAACCACACTTGTTTGTTTTGCTATGGAAGCTAACGTTAGCTAATGTGCTAAAAAGTTAGCGTTGCAGAGAAATCCAATCTTCCTCTTAATCCCTCCCCAGTTTCTGATGAGGTGGACATGATAACCCTTAATACACATAACCTTATTCATCCCTACAACAGGAAATACTTTTTCCCTAACCTGATATGAAGTGTGCGCTGCACATGTGAGCATTTTTGATGATGGCCTCCGTCCAGTCCTTTGGTCTTATCACATTTAACCATAGTTGTCTTTGTTTTTGTTGACGGGCAGTGGCGGCTGGTTTTGAGCCATGACTCCTTCTATTCTGGCTCCCAATAACTGCCAGTGTTTATTTTGAGAGAGTAATGTTCACTGGGGAAACACCAACATTCACATCATCACTCACTTAGTGAAGGACAGACTTACCCATTTGCAAATATGCAAATTCTTGAAGGAATGACCCGCCCTGCTCTCCCTTTGATTGGCTAGTATATATGATTGCCTTCATTGGTTGAATTGGTAAGGTTTAGGCAAGAGGAATGGGATTGGTTAAGGTTTGCGTAAAAATGTCAGGATAAGCCAATCAGAGGCAGAGTAAGGCAGCTATTCTTTTATCATCCTAGCATCCGCAAATTCACTTTCTGTTTATGGAGCTGGCCTCATATGGTTCAGTCTCGCCAAAAAGACCACAGAGTAGAAGATGTTTTGGAGGCGACCAAAGTCACAGTGAGTTCTGGGGAGTTTTGTTTGTTTGTCAAATATTTAATTTTGTCCTAAGGTTAAAGCCATGTTACGACTCAGCGTCGGAAACACAAATATCTGCAAGCTTTATTCTTTATGCTTTAAGAAGTTCAATCAATTTTATGTATAAAGCCCAACATCACAAATCACAATTTGCCTCACAGGGCTTTACATCATACGACATCCCTCTGTCCTTATGACCCTCACAGCTGATCAGGAAAAACTCCCCAAAAAACCCTTTAACAGGGAAAAAACGGTAGAAACCTCAGGAAGAGCAACTGAGGAGGGATCCCTCTTCCAGGACGGACAGACGTGCAATAGATGTCGTACAGAACAGATCAGCATAATAAATTAACAGTAATC